GCTGTTAAGTGAGCAGTTGCTTATATAATCCTGGAGTTGAGGGGGGAGTTTTGGCTGGAGATTACAAATGGTGGGAGGCATAAATGTCCAGATGGTATTTGAAAACCGGAGTTTGGATGTGGTCACCAAGGAAGTGTGTGCAGCTAAAATAAAGGTCTGAGATCTGATCCCCGCAGCCCTCCACATTTAGAGGTTTGGGAGATGAGAAGGAACTAGCAAAGGGAACTGAGGAGAAAGAGAAGAACCAGGGGTGTGGTATCTTAGAAGTCAAGTGAAGAGAGTTTTCACAGAAGGAAGCTCAGTCAGTTATAACAAACTTTCCAAGAAAGACAAGGACTGTGAATTGCCATTTGATTGTGGGAACATGGATGTCATTAATGACTTTGACCATGGTGGTGAAAGCTGGATTTCAAGAAGATTCAGGAGAGTGGGAGGTGAGAGATTTGAGATAGCAGGAATATATAGCTTTTTTGAGCAATTTTGCTAAAAAGGGTAGCAGAGAAATGGGACAATGACTGGAAGGTGTGTCATAGTCAAGATAATATTTTTGTTTTCATTTAAGTTTTAAGTGACAAATTATCACTTGTGTGCTGATGAGATTGGTCTATGAATAAAGGATAAAATTGATGATCAGATTGTTGCTAGGTCAAGTGTCCTTGAATAGAAGAGAAGGGATGGGATCTAGTGCATAAGTTAACAGCATGAAGTAGATTTTCATTTGTACATCCATCAAAGATGAGCAGCTATTTATGTTCCAGGCACTGTGATCAGTACTGGGAATAAAATGAGAACAAGATAGATGCGGGCTCTCTGCTCAGGTGGAAATTGAACCCTCTTGATGGTGTTATTCCCAGATGAGGTTATTGTAACTCACTGATTAAGAAACTGACTCAAAGTAACTAAAATGTAGATTTGAATCCAACATAACTTAAAGCTCAACGATTTCTCACATTTTCCCTACCTTTACAGCTATCAACCTATTACTCCGTGCCATCATCATCTCCTGCCAGGATTGCCTTGTGAACCTGACTGGTCAGCCTGTTTCTCCATACAGTCCATTTTCTATCTAGCTGTCAGCCCTTTAGAACATGTCATATCCACTCACTGCCCAGAACCCCCTTCCCAGCACATTTAGAATAAAATGCAAACCCCTAACATGGTTTAACTTAGTCTGGTCCTGTTCTCTCTCTCCCAACAGGTTTCTATTCCAGTCACCGTCCTGTTTGTTGTTTTTCACATATGCTAGTGGATTCCCATCTTTTTGTAGTTGTTCCTGTACCTTGGAATGTTTTTTCCTCAGATTCTTAATTTTCTACTTTAAGTCTCCTCTCAAATTTTCTTCTTCAAGGAGGCCCTCTTAATTATTTTTTTTTTTAAATTTTTTTTAATGTTTTATTTATTTCTAGGAGAGAGAGAGAGACCGCGGGAGCAGGGGAGGGTCAGAGAGAGAGGGAGTCACAGACTGAAACAGGCTCCAGGCTCTGAGCTGGCAGTCAGCACAGAGCCCGACGCGGGGCTCGAACCCACGAACCACGAGATCATGACCTAAACGAAAGTCGGACGCTTAACCGACTAAGCCACCCGGGCGCCCTGTGGGAGGCCCTCTTAATTAAAATATAGCCTTTTTTCACCAATTATTTGCTTTCTTTGCTTTTATTTTTCTTAGCCTTTATTAATTTCCTGAAATCATATTTTTTTTTTTTTTACTTTTGTCTCTATCAATAATATATAAGTCTCATGTTTAGACCTTGTTTGTGGTATTCACTGTGTCTCTAGAACTTAGAAAAACAAATATGGCACATGAAATCAAGGTATATGCAATTCCACGTCTCATGAAAAGTTTGGACAAGTTGTAAGTAGGGAGGAAGCCAGTTGTCTATATAGGCTAGGTATTCTGATTAGAACAACTTCAAGCTGATGTTAAAAGATTAATCAGATACGGATAGGAATGAGAGGGATTCAAAATAACTGAGTTTTGTTTATAAAAGTATTACTTCTTTGGTAGTCTTATGGGTGGAGGGAGCCATAGAACTATGCTTTCCTAAGAGAAATGGGGAAAATTAAAGGAACTGGTTGGCAAGTGTGGGTTTACTCATTTTGATTTTTGGAAAAAAAGAAACATTTGTTGCAAATCTATTATATCTACTATAGAATATTTAGAAAATATAATTAAAATAAAGTTAGAACAGTTTTTCATGTACTGATAAACCACTATTAGTACTATTCTGATACATAGTCATTCATATTTATGTCTACATCTGTATTTAGGAAACAAGAATTGGGGCACCTGGGTGGCTCAGTTTGTTGTGTCCGACTTTGGCTCGGGTCATGATCTCACGGTTTGTGGGTTTGAGCCCCGAGTCAGGCTCTGTACTGACAGCTCAGAGCCTGGTGCCTGCTTCAGATTCTATGTCTCCCTCTCTCTCTGCCCATCCCCTGATTGTGCGCTGTCTGTCTCTGTCTCTCTCAGAAATAAATAAACATGTAAAAAAAAATAAATAAAAAACAAAAACTGGCATTGCTAGACTTATTGGTGATTTGAGGTAAAATCAGGACTACCAAGAGGAAATGTTTAATAGGCAGTTGGAAGTATAAAATTAAGTCTTGGGATATAGATCTGGGAAATGACTATATAGTTGTAGACTTGGGGGAATGAATATCATCTTTAAAAGCAAACAAAATACAGGGAAGATGAGGAGATAGAGCCATAACTTTGGGAAACATGGAGACTTTTAATTAGGTGGCTAGAAGAATCACCATGGAAAGGATGAGAAATAATTAAAGGTGAGAAGACCAGGCTAGTGGAGGATTCTGAAAATTGAAGGGAATTTTTAGGAGGCAGCACCACTAAGTTAGCGCTTATTGCAAAGGCAAGGAGGCTGAGACTGAGGAAGCAAAGACTTGAACTTCATCCTTAGAAGTATCCATTAGTGATATTTGGGCATAGAGCTTAGCGTTAGAGGAAGAAGCCAGTGTTAAAGAGCATAAATGCCAAGGGCTTTTCAGAATGAGTTTTTGTTAGAAACATGGTTCAATAGGGATATTGCATAGATGATGCCTTAGATATCTAGTTATTCTCTGTAGCCCACAGTGTTAAGGATATAGTAGATGTGATGTGTTCAAAGCATTTGAAAGTGAAAGGTAAACGGGTAAATGTTCTTGCTTGTATATTGTTTTGTTACGGGAAGTTTGGCATGTCTGAAGACAAGAACCAATGGAAAGGAAAGGATGTAGGAGAGTTGAAGAAACAAAGTTTGCAGTTATTTCCAAAAGAAGGTGGGGAGAAGAAGTGGGCTTAGTTATTAGGGGTAAGGAGTTAACTTTGGAAAGGAAGTAAATCTCTTTCTCTGAGGTATAAAGAAGTAAAAACAGACACTGAGAAAGTTTTAGTGCTGAGAGGAGAGAATAGAAGGACACCACTGACTTTCCCCGCACGATCTTGGAATGACTTCGTGAACGAGGATTGGAGACTTCACAGAGACAGAAGGACTGAATAACTGTTATGTGAGAATTATGCTAGGAATTCAGAAGAAGACCTCAAAAGTTTTGCCAGACAGCAGTGAGGGTAAATTTTATTATTTTGAAAACGGTTGTCTTAGAACAACCGTTACAGAGCTTACCACCAGAAACTTAATATCCAGTAATTATCTGGCCATCTTTTGGATTGCTGTTTAATCTATCAGGTCATTATTCATAATATGAAAAGTTGATGAAGATGTGTTTCGCTAGAAAATTAATCTCTGATACAAACATTTACTCTTTAAGACTGTGTGTAGGTTGTAAGTTTTTTCACGTAAAAGATTACCTTTGATGTTGCCGACATGATGGAAACTTAAAATTGTTGTTGGATGTTAAATACTGAGATTTTTGATTGTTTAATTCTAATTTATATTGTAATTTAATCCTTATTACATAATTTTCATTAAGGTAGAGCACCAAATCCTCAAATGCTGAATTTTTTCACATCTTAAAATGAAATACTGACAGAGAAAGGGATAGATAGATTGAATCTCTGGAGGGGTTTTTGTTTTTTTGTTTTGTTTTGTTTTTACATCCAAGTTAGTATATAGTGCAACAATGATTTCAGGAGTAGATTCCTTAATGCCCCTTACCCATGTAGCCCATCCCCCCTCCCACAACCCCTTCAGCAACCCTCTGTTCTCCATATTTGAGAGTCTCTTAGGTTTTTGTTCTCCTCCCTGTTTTTATATTGTTTTTGCTTCCCTTCCCTTATGTTCATCTGTTTTGCGTCTTAAATTCCTCATATGAGTGAAGTCATATGATAGTTGTCTTTCTCTGACTAATTTTGCTTAGCATAATGCCCTCTAGTTCCATCCAGAAGCTCTGGAGTTTTACGTGGTAAAGGTTTTAGAGTTGAAAAGCCTTGAGGAAAACTACTTCAGTCTTTATTCAGTTATAAAAATGTAGACATATTTCCCAAAGATACATACATGCCTTTTATTGTTTTTGTGAGAAAAAGAGAAACTATAAAAATTAAAAATTAAGAGTTGTTTATACAAATTTTGCACACTCATATTAATTAGTTTCCATTTTTTCACTGTAGAATATTGTTGTATGTTAATGACCTTAAGGTCATTATAATAAACATTAGGGTTATTTCCCAAAGATTCAAATTGTACTTATTCCTCCTTAACCATCTTTGTGCCTGTAGCTCCTTAGAAAAAAGGCAGGGGCCGCCTGGGTGGCTCAGTCGGTTAAGCATCCGACTTTGGCTCAGGTCATGCATGATCTCACGGTTTGTGGGTTCAAGCTCCGCGTTGGGCTCTGTGCTGACAGCTAGCTCAGAGCCTGGAGCCTGCTTCAGATTCTGTGTCTCCCTCTGTCTCTGACCCTCCTCTGCTCACACTGTCTCTTCTCTCTCTCTCAAAAATAAATAAAACATTTAAAAATTTTTTGTTTAAAGAAAAAAGGCAGTTAGGCTTTTTGGCTCTAAAATCAAATGCTTACATTGGGATTCTAATACGGAGATTTTTTTTCAGGTCTTTGTAGGTAAAATACCAAGAGATTTATATGAAGATGAGTTGGTACCCCTTTTTGAAAAGGCTGGTCCCATTTGGGATCTACGTCTTATGATGGATCCACTGTCTGGTCAGAACAGAGGGTATGCATTTATCACCTTCTGTGGAAAGGAAGCTGCACAGGAGGCTGTTAAACTGGTATGTGATAAATGAATACACACTGTCTAGCAAGTCATTATCTGAGAGTGTTATCTCAATTAAAAATGTTTGCAGTTAACATTATTTCCGGCAGTTTTTGCTTTGAATGGTTATATGCTGATTAAATTGGTACGTGATCTTTGCTCTATTTTTTCTGATTATGAAAGTAAAAAAGAATGAAAATACCCAAGAAATAATGTGTTAGAGAAAGTCTTCCATAATTCTGGGAAGTTAATTATTAGATCGGCTAGTAACTAAATTTTCATTTGAATACACATTTGGCTTCTGCAGTTCTCTTGATTTTAGCAGAAAGGATGTCAGTCATTACTATTAAACTTTAGGATAAGATTCTCAAAAGTGTAATGAAGGCTGGGATGGATTCTGGGGAACATAACTGGGTAACAGTGACTTTTACGACACAATTCAGGAAATAATTGAGACTCGCAAATGACTGAGATTGTCACAATGTAATCATACAACTTATTTTCCATGTATATGCCTGTTCTTTTCTATATTTTGTTTTCAGGCCCTTCAGCCTTCTCTGTCTTTAATCTTTCTCTCCCTTTTTTTTTTTTTTTTTTTTTTTTTTTTTTTTTTTTTTTCTCTTTTTTTTTTTTTTTTTTTTTTTTTTTTTTTTACTATTTTATAGCCAATCTTTTGTGATCTAGTAATTTCCTTTTTGCAGGGCCTTTAACCCTTTGTACGTAGTAGTACAATAGCATGACTACTACTAGGAGGAGCAGGAGTAACAGAGCCTCACTTTGTCTAGTTCCAGTCCTTCTAGATCGAGTACCTCTTTCACCAAGGCTTTTGGTTTCATTAATTATTTCTAAATTACTTCCACTTCTAGCTTGACCCAGATTTTAGTTTTTATTAGGGACTTTTTCCTCTGACTTATTAATTATTGAGAAGTTTTCAAAGCTTTATTTCCTCATTTTTGGTAACGTATGGATTATTTTATAATAATCACGTATCTTTTAGTAAGGTGATGGGTAAGTAATGTCAAAGCCTAAGAAGCTAAAGTTTGCCAAGGAAACTATCACCATAGTGATTTAAATAAAACCGTTCTTGTTTCCTGTTATTTCATGTAATTTTGAAGGTATTGTGTTTGATAATGCAGTTTAAAACTTCATGTATACATTTAGAATTCTGTATTTTGTGTAGAATGTGAAATTCTTCTAAACTTCTTTTGTATTAATTATGCATAGTTGTTACTCTTTGTGTATTGTTATTTTGCCTTTGGCTTATCTATATCTAATTTTATCTCCAAGGATCCTGAATGATAGTCTTGGGTATTTTTCCTGAAGTTCTCTGGAAAATTTTTCAGATAGATCACATTGAAACATTAAATAAGATACTTTAAAAAATAAAGTGAAATAACTGAGTCATTTTTATCCAGAGGAGCAGTGAAAGTTAACCAAATTAAGATGAGAGAAAACAAGTTTTAAAATGTACATTTATATAATGGTAAGCATGTGAGAACTTGGTGAGTTCATGAAACAGGAAGTTTTTTACCTTAAATTGTTGAATTTTTAGATTGAGATCACTTATCCTGAGTTTGGGATGGTTGTGGGGTATCTGGTTCTTTTCTTCCTTGCAGTGTGACAGCTATGAAATTCGCCCTGGTAAACACCTTGGAGTGTGCATTTCTGTGGCAAACAACAGGCTTTTTGTTGGATCAATTCCAAAGAATAAGACTAAGGAAAACATTCTGGAAGAATTCAGTAAAGTCACAGGTAAAACAAAAATGTATTTAGTAGAAGTTAGTTTTGGGACATCTGTGGTACTATTTATAAGTACAAAAAAAAAGAAGGTATTTGTTAATCTAAAAATTGAAACCTTCAGTGTCTAAATTGCCTCCTTTCTACTGTATGGTGGTTTGGACTAAGTATGTTCCCTCATATCCTTAATTTCATGGAATGTCCCCTTCACTTCTCTGCCTTAGCTTTCGCAATAGTCTTTGCCGTGAAGCCCTCCAGTGAAGGCTTCCCAACATTAAGTGTGCTTCAGGGCCAAGAGGATAAGAGTTCTTATCCTTCCTGTTGCCTTGTCTAAGTCAGATTTTTCAGAATTTCTAATTCTGAATCCATGGAATTGAGAAGTTTGTTGAACATCACGGGTGTATATATATTTATAACTGAAACAAAATTAACAAAACTGTACTTTATTATGCATGATTTAGCATGGTATTTTCTGTTCCTTTTTTTTTTTTTTTTTAAATGTGGGTAGGGATATACTTTTGCTGGCTGTGGTTTAAAAAAACATTGATTTAGACCATTACTTTCCCTCATAAAAACCATGTTTTTGTCTTCCAGATATACTATCCTTTCTCCTTCCTTGATGCTGTCATCTATTGCTCTTCTGGTTTCAGTCTTTCATTAATTGAAGATTGCTTCTGGCTTGTAGTCTTTCTCTTCTGCCCTAAATTGACTTATTTGTAGTACCTTTAACATGTATGTGGATAAACTGCAGTCCCCTAGCCTCCTAGTTTTATGACCACCTCATCTCCGGTTCTTTACTTCAACTCCCCACATCCAGGTCACATTCTGGATCTTGCTGCCAGAAATTCTCCCCACTCCAAAATCTTGATATCTAGCATTCTGCTTTGTAACCACTGCCACTATCTGTCACAGTTGTGTTGGTTACATACCCCTAATGGTGCAGTTCTTTGACCTCATCACTTTGTTACTTTTCTGGCTTCTTATCCAGTTATTCATTCCTTCAGCAAGTGTGTATCTAGTGCCTATTAAGTGGTGGCATTGTGCTATTTGCTGGGAGACAGTGGTGAATAAGATCTATTTTCTGCCCTTATAGAATTTACATTCTAGGAAAGGAGATAAGACAAAAAGTTAAAGAAATATTTATATATTGTGGTAAACACTAAGCACTGAGAAGAGGGAGATAAAGAATACTTAGCTAGAGAATAGCTACTATCCCTGTTTTGATGGTTATGGAACGCTTTTCTGATAAGATGACATTTCAAGCAAGACCCAAAGAATGAGGAGGATGTAGCATTCAAAGAGCAAAGGGATATGCATTTCAAGAGAGCAAAATATACCAAGGCTCCAAAGCAAGAAAGGACTTGGTGTATTAAAGTAACTGAGGGAAGACCAGTGTTCTTAAAAGTACTGAAGAATTAAAGTTAGAATTGTATGAGATGAAATAGGCAGGGCTTTTGTGCACTATGTAAGGAGTTTAGATTTTATTTTTTTGTATAATGAGAAGGTATTTGAAGGTCTCGAGCATGACTGTCTCTTTCATGCTTATAGACTATGATCTCTGCTGCCCTATGGATAATGTTTTAAGAGGGCCTTAAGAGGAAAAGCTAATCGATTAGTTGAGGCTGTCACAGTAGTTAAGATAGAAGATTGGACCAGGATAATAGCCATGAAGGTGGAAAGTAGTAGATGGGCTCAGAATTGGGTAGGAGAATAAAGGAAGTAAAGGAAGAAATCAAGAATGAGTCCTCTATTTCTGGCTTGAGAACCAGGAGATGGGACTGTTTGTTATATAGGGAAGTAGAGAAGACCAATTTGGGGAGCGGTGATTGTGGTTTTGGGCATGTTAAATTCAAAATGTCTTTAAGTCTGGGCTAGAACTAAAATTAAAATCTAAGCGTTCTTAGGAATACGGATAGCTTTTAAAAGCACAAAATCGCTGATACTGCCTAGAAAGAACATATGTGGAAAGATGAGAACACATGACTAAGACCAGAGGGACACTAATATTTAGCATTTTCATTCTTGGTGAGAATAGTAATTTTTAAATTAGATCCAAGGATGATTTTTGGTCATGATTATTTGTTGAATGTAAGTCCTCTTGGATTTATATTAATAATTTGGTTTTTAAATTCCTTGGTAGTGTTTTCATAAATTATAAGGTCACGTTATGTCAAACACTCTAAAACACTGTAGAATGTTATACGTCAGAATACAGTAGTTGGACCTGTTGTTTATGGCTGTACCCTCAGGACCCCAAAAAATTAAAAGGGAACATAAAATTCTGTTTCAAAACCCATATCTAATGATGCTGATTTAATTGTCTACTAGGAAATTAGGGAATCCTTTTGAGGCTTCTTCAATGTTTTTTGCTCTTCGGCAAATGGATTTAGGTCTGCCTAATCGCTAGATGTGTGGTGGATGCTTTTGGCTTATATATCTGGCTGTTGGTTTAACAGAGGGTTTGGTGGACGTTATTCTCTATCATCAACCCGATGACAAAAAGAAGAATCGGGGGTTCTGCTTCCTTGAATATGAGGATCACAAGTCAGCAGCACAAGCCAGACGCCGGCTGATGAGTGGAAAAGTAAAAGTATGGGGAAATGTAGTTACAGTTGAATGGGCTGACCCTGTGGAAGAACCAGATCCAGAAGTCATGGCTAAGGTAAATGCAGTTGCTTGGGATGGGGGTGAGATTATCATTTAAATTTTGTACTTAGAATAAAGCTCAATTTTTAAAGGTTTTATGATAAATATAGATTGTAGCTCTTGATCTTAATTATTTAGGCAAGGACCTGCTTTAATAGCAAACTTACTGTCTTGATATCCAGAAATTTCTTTTAATCATCCCCTTTCCCAGAGGTTAAATGTGCTAAAGAAACTGAAATGAAATCCCTTTCAGTATTTCCATACACGCTGAGAATTTGTTTAGTGCTGGGCACTAGGAGGGCTACAGAGGTTTATAAAAGACCAGGTCTTGTTGAATAAAGTAATGTTTTGGAGATTATGAATTGTAATCTTCATTGACCATACTGTGACTTTTTTCATTTAATGATCAAGCTACCTTAGAGTTTTATCTCCATGAAGAAAGGCAAAGGGTTATCATGTTTGATGTTATGTGATAGTGGCAAAATATGCATGGCAAGTCCATTGGCAGGCCCTTGCTTTCTTCCTGAACCTTATATTTGCATTGCCACGATCTTTGCCTGGTAAATAATGGTGCCATGAGTCCTGGTTGTAAGGCTTTCTTTTGGGTGACTCCAGGGATTGAAGGGACACATCAGAGTGGCATCTCTGCTGGTTCTAGTGAGTTTTTTTGTATTTTGGTGTGTCTCTTCCCTTCTTGGTGAGGCAGCAACTCCGTGATGGCCAGAAATTAATGCTTGAATTCTTCTAGACTGAGAAGTCTTTCTCTAAAGGTTTTTTGTAATAGGTTCTGAGCAGGTAATCTTCACTTTAACTAGTTTGAAAGAGAGCCCTAGTTTATTACTTGTATGATCAGGTTTTTGTAGGCAAAGACCTCTTTGGATTAAGAGAAGATCCATTGAAAATGAATCAGAGAGGCTTTCAGATGTGCTTCTCAGTATTTTTTTCCCTCATATTCCTTGAGTAGATTTGTGTTAAGGAAAGGGACTGGGAATTTAAATAGCTCTGGTTTTTTGTTTTGTTTTTTCTAACTATCTTTCTTCCATTTTTTTTGTTCTAATGTATTTATGACTTTGGGCAAACTTATGAACTTGGATGTTCTCTGTTTTATTGGAATTGGATAAATCTCTTAAGAACACTTATAACTTTGGTTGCCTTTTAGAAATAGTTTGTATTACCTTTTCTGTAAAAACATGTTTAAAATAGTATTGTAGGTAATATTACACATTATAAGAGGTGAATTAAATTCTCAGAGAGTATAAGTGTAGCTGGTAATTTGCTCATCAACATTTTTCACATACTTCTTGTGTAACCTTTCAGATTGAAATTCCTCCTAAACTTTTTTATAGGGCCAGAAAATCTTAACATTTTATTCTAGGAACTATTCTTTCGAGGTCATAAACAAGTTTCAGAAAGAAAGGGAGGCCTATATAAACTTCAATGATATTGATTGAAAAAGTGTGAGTTAATAATACTGATTTCTTTATTGTTTTCTAAATTTCAGTGGGGGATGGGGATCCTACCCTAAGGAGTAAAAGCTTCTGGTATTACTTGTCTCTAATCAGTGTTGTAATTCATTGAAGATATTTTGCCAACTTCGGTCAATTTTATAATAAACTAAAACTAAGCCTAAATGTATCTTTCTTAGAGGGACTTTTTTCCTTTGGAACATTTTAAATAAAGTTTCAACAAATAATTTTTATAGAGTATGTTGTGGTTTCATCTCCAAAAAGAATAAAAGATCTATGTTAAGTGTTTTAAAAAAGTAAATAAACCAGCGGAGGCCCGCATAACCTAGAATTTGACCTCTGTGACAACACTGCAAAAAGAAAGGGGGTAAAGGTAGAGGTGGAAGATGTTAGATTTTTTTCTTTCTTGAATTAATACCTTTCCTAAAATAATTTTTATTCATATAGCATTTTATCTAAGATAACAGTTTATTCAGTGAGTGTGTTAATTTTTTTCTTTGAGTAGGAAAAGTAGTTCCTTAGTTCAAAAATCAAAATTATGAAGAAAAGTATAGTCAGAGAAGTCCCACATGTACTTAGCCCCATCTGCCATAGTCCCTGTCTCTGATACACACCCAGTTTTAGTAGTCTCTGATTTGTTCTGTTAGTAGTTCTTTCCTGACTTTTTAGATGATGGTTATAGGTAACCTACTATATTCACTGATCTACATTTGCTTTATTCACTGTCCTATTTCATTAGCTCTCAGGAAGTGTATCATTATTACTTATACCACTAAAAAATTATTAAATGTTACCAATTAAATTATGACATAGTGCTTGCATGTCACCTTGACTATAAGTTGGATCCTTATTTCAGAGATGTAAAAAAGGGAAAAATATGTCTTACCAATAGTGTGTCCTGGCAGTCTCTTCATATCCACTCTTAGAACTCTTCCTCACTTTTTATGGTTGCATAATAGTTCCATTCTGTGGATTATACTATGCTGTATTCAACTAACTGGACATTGGGTTGTTTCTAATGTTTTATTATTACAATACTGTAATGATGAGCTTGTATCTTGTTAGTTGATGAAAGTTTAGATATGTCTGTAGAAAAGATTCTCAAAGATAAAAATGTGGGCCAAAAAGTATAAATGCATGTGCAGTTAAGATATGGCTGTATTCCCCTGGTACTGTTTTACTTACACACCAGCAAAATATAAGAGGCCCATTTTCCTCATCCTTCTTAAAATAGTGTATGTTTATATTTTTGGATTTTGCCAGTCTGGTAAATGATATATCTCAAAGCCATTATGAATTGCTGTTCTTACTATGCTTGGGTTTAAGTTTTTAATATGTTGAAGGGCCATTTGTGTTTCTTTATATGAACCATGTATTTGTGAATTATCCATATCTTTCTATTGTTTGAGTTATTTTTTTATTTTCTGGAGCTCTGATATTAAAAAAGAAAGATGAACTCTGTAAAACAGGTCATTTGTCTTTTGGCTCCGCTTCTGGTATTTTTTTTTTTTTTTTTTTTTTGCCATGTGAAAGTCACTTATTTCTAGTAGTTGAATTTTATCTCTCCTTTATATATTAGATTTTAAATAACAGAGGCTTCTTTAGAGCCATGTTACATAAAGAAATTACCCTTATTTTCTTCTAATATATTTCAGTTTCTCCCTATCCTCATCCCTGTCCACTCCTTTAAAATTTTTTTATTTATTTGGAGTTTATCATGGTATATAGTGTGAGGTATAAATCCAGCTTATTTTTGTTAAGTTTTTATTTTTAAGTAATCTTTACACCCAACATGGGTCTTGAACTTAAAACCCTGAGATCAAGAATTCCATGTTCCACTGCCATGTTCCAGGCAGGCGTCCCCCCCGCCCCCCACTTTTATTTTTACCCAGGTGAACACTACACTGTTCCAGTGATTTAAGAGTTATAATTTGTTATATCTGGTAAGGCTTGTCTCTAATATTTCTTCTCCCCTCCACCCCATTTCTGTTTATTTTTTCATGATGAACTTTAGAATCTGCTCATTCAGTTCTAGGTGAGAAAACCCAAAAACATGTTGTTTTAGGGGGTGTTTAGGGATGATGTTAAATTTTTGAATCAAATTAGTAATTATGTGTTGGTTCCTTGAAGGTTCTATTCACGGTGTTAGGGATTTTAGTGACAGGGCAGGAGAAGGATCCAATACTCTATATAGTGGTAACTGACAGTAATTTTCTTGGCAGTTTTCATACTTCTGTGATGCACTCTTAGTGTTTAATATTTTTGAAAAGGCAAGGCTGCCATGAGGATAGGAAGAAATACTTTTAATAAAAGACTTCAGCTAAAATTAAGTAGCCAGTGCCAATTTTGTGTATTTGTTGTATTAGGTGAAAGTTTTATTTGTGAGAAACTTGGCTACTACAGTGACAGAAGAAATATTGGAAAAGTCATTTTCTGAATTTGGAAAACTCGAAAGAGTGAAGAAATTGAAAGATTATGCATTTGTTCATTTTGAAGACAGAGGAGCAGCTGTTAAGGTAGAGATTTTGAAATTTTGTGTCTTGATATTTGAATTTTGTTGTTGAAACTTGCTAAACCGATAAAATGACTTTAAAAACTGAAATAAAATTGGTTTTCAGCTTTTGCCGAACTCTGGAACTTTCTTTTAATAATCTATGAAGTGGTAATAGTGTAACAGGTAAGACTTCATATTTTAAAGCCTGATTATTACTAACCTGTTTGTCATTTCAGGCAAATATTTTTAATCTCTGTATTGTTTTTATAAGCCTAAACTATGATAGCGTGATGCCTTGGAAATGTTACAAGGTAGAATAATTAGCTGTTGTAAATAGTAAATAGGTAATGAATATATTATAACTACTTTGTGGATTTATGAAGGAACCCTGAGCATTGTACGTGACTTCACAAACAGTATAGCATATTTAATTCAGCAGATGTGTTCTGAGAGAATAGTTAGTTCTTCATAATCTTGCCTGTTTTTTTTAGAGTTTATTTATTTTGAGAGAGAGAGACAGATTGTAAGTGGGGGAGGGACAGAGAGGAGGGAGACACAGAATCTGAAGCAGGCTCCAGACTCCAAGCTGTCAGCACAGAGCCCGACACAGGGCTGGAACTCATAAACCGTGAGATCACGACCTGAGCTGAAGTCTGATGCTTAACTGACTGAACCACCCAGGCACCCCTTTAGCCTTGCCTTTCATCAGTTATTTTAGAATTCTAATAGTATTAACTGTTTTTGCTGGTTTCAGTGGTTGTTAGAGATATTTCTTGCATGTAATAGTTAATTTGATGATAGTAATGAAAACTGTGAAAAAAGTAGTTTCATGTGATGGCTACAACATCAAACCTGAATACTCTGCTGTTTTTTTGCTGATAATTGGTTAGTACCATTTTTAATGTGTAAAATTTCTAGTTTCTTGTTCCTGTCACCTTTCCTATTGGGGGAAAGAAGACAAAACACTAAAAAAGCTTCTTAGGTATTTGGGGAGATAGGTTCAAAATGCTCAGTGACTCATTCAGGCTTAGTTCTTTTTCTACATATTCTGTTGGTGGAGGGGTGCCGCCTTTAATTTGAGCAGTTTTTGTTTCCTCCTCAGGGTGTACTGCTTTAAAGTGTGCCTTATAGAATCTTTGACTAGTTAGAATTTATTAGTTTGCTGCTTTTTTTTAATGTTTGTTTTTGAGAGAGAGATCACATGAGCAGGGGAGGGGCAGAGAGAGGCAGGGACAGAGCATCTGAAGCTGGTTCTGTACTGACAGCGGAGAGCTCAGCGTGGGGCTTGAACTTAAAATTGTAAGACCTGACCTGAGGTTGCATGCTCAACCAACTGAGCCACCCAGGCTGTTGGTTTGCTTTTTGGTGGAAGCTAATTAGTGAGAGAGCACTACTTTTAAAATTCACAGCTTAGTACAGAATTTAATGCTTTGTTTCTGAAATTGCCAATGTATGAAACATCGGTAACTGATAAATTTATACCTTCTAAATACTTATTTTCATTCAGTTCTTATTAAATAAATGGTTGCCTCCAATTGAAAATAATTATAAAAATTGGTACGGTAGTTTGCCAAATTACAAGATTTCTCAGCAACTGGGGAGCTTTTGTAGACTTAATTTAGTTGCTTTAGGTGAAATAGTCAAAAGGTAATGTGATAAAGGGGAGAAATTAGCTTGTAGAGGAGGACTGATACAATCTTTGTTCAGATACTTTTTATCACTGAATGCACTTTATGGATAAAGCATTTTATTCTCTTTATCCAGAGAAGAAAAGGTTGTGTAAGGAAACAAAAAAGCTGTGGTGAGAAGGTGATACTTTGTTACTGAGTTACTTGAACTTTGATGTATGGCAGAGGCTGTTAGGTGGAACAACAGTTGAAGGACAGAGCGTAGAATGCTTTTGGTTACTGCTTCCCAGGTGAGGACTTGAGTCTTCATGAATCCACGCCTGTTCTGGGCTCTGTGATCTTAACTGTTCAGGTGGAGTATGTGTTAGGTGAAGTGTTGGTGGGGGAAACCTAGGTAGTTTTTGGTCAGTATCTTGTTCAGTTTCATTGACAACCTCATTTAGTAATGTCATTTGTCTTTAAGATTTTTATGGAAGAGTACTTTCAGATTTACATGTTGAATGCCATGTTTTTTATTTAAAACCAAATCCTGAAAAGCTTGTGTTCATATGGCACTTTTCCCAGGTGTGGATTTGCATCTTTGGTATGGCTCAACTTTGAGGGATTAGCTATTTGGAATTAAGGAGCAGCGGTAGGCAGCCCTAGAAGGCCTTTGACCTTTTATTTATTTATTTACTTGTTTATTTAATGTTTACTCAGTTTTGAGAGACAGAGAGAGGCTGGGGGGGCGATAGAGAGAGGGGAGACACAGAATTTGAAGCAGGTTCCAGGCTCCGAGCTGTCTGTGCAGAGCACGATGTGGGGCTTGAACCCACGAACCCTGAGATCATGACCTGAGCTGAAGTTGGCCACCCAGCCGACTGAGTAACCCAGGCGCCCCAATCCTCTTACCTTTTTAAAATAGAATAGTAGGATATCAGGTTTGTTTTCAATATAATTAGTGGGAGGAGCAGAGGAACAGGGAGAGGGAGAATCCCAAGAAGGCTCTGCACTGTCATTGCAGAGCCTGATGCAGGGCTTGAACTCACAAACCATGAGATCATGACCTGAGCTGAAGTTGGACACTTAACCTACTGAGCCACCCACATTCTTTTCCCAGTTCAGGTAGTTGTGAAGTAAATTGTTCATTAGTTGTATTAAGTAACACAGACCTGTTTTTGTAATTATGTCTAAAGTACTTCTTTACTTGCAAAATAAATTTATTTTTGCAATCTTGTATAGGCCATGGATGAAATGAATGGCAAAGAAATAGAAGGGGAAGAAATTGAAATAGTCTTAGCCAAGCCACCAGACAAGAAAAGGAAAGAGCGCCAAGCTGCTAGACAGGCTTCCAGAAGCACTGCGTGAGTCTACATTTTAATAAATACATCTCTGAACAAAGAATAACCTGGTAATAGAGATGCAGTTAATAAAAAATTAGGAATAGTCTTGACGTAAGCTAATTTGCTTTTTCTTTTCTCCCTTCCTTCCATTGCTAGGTATGAAGATTATTACTATCACCCTCCTCCTCGTATGCCACCTCCAATTAGAGGTCGGGGTCGTGGTGGGGGGAGAGGTGGATATGGCTACCCTCCAGATTACTATGGCTATGAAGATTACTATGATGATTACTATGGTTATGATTATCACGACTATCGTGGAGGCTATGAAGATCCCTACTACGGCTATGATGATGGCTATGCAGTAAGAGGAAGAGGAGGAGGAAGGGGAGGGCGAGGTGCTCCACCACCACCAAGGGGGCGGGGAGCACCACCTCCAAGAGGTAGAGCTGGCTATTCACAGAGGGGGGCACCTTTGGGACCACCAAGAGGATCTAGGGGTGGCAGAGGGGGTCCTGCACAACAGCAGAGAGGCCGTGGTTCCCGTGGATCTCGGGGCAATCGTGGGGGCAATGTAGGAGGCAAGAGAAAGGCAGACGGGTACAACCAGCCTGATTCCAAGCGCCGTCAGACCAACAACCAACAGAACTGGGGTTCCCAACCCATCGCTCAGCAGCCGCTTCAGCAAGGTGGTGACTATTCTGGTAACTATGGTTACAATAATGACAACCAAGAATTTTATCAGGATACTTATGGGCAACAGTGGAAATAGACAAGTGAGGGCTTGAAAATGATATTGGCAAGATCCGATTGGCTCTAGATCTACATTCTTCAAAAAAAATTGGCTTAACTGTTTCATCTTTAAGTAGCAGTTTGCTGCCATTTGTACTGGGCTGAAGAAATCACTATTGTATATATACTCAAGTCTTTTTATTTTTTTCCTCTTTTCATAAATGCTCTTGGACATTATTGGGCTTGCAGAGTTCCCTTATTCTGGGGGTTACAATGCTTTTATCGTTTCAGGCTTCATTTTAGCTTCAAAACCAACCTGAGCACACTGTTAAATCATGATTTTGCAGAACCTTTGGTTTTGGACAGTTTCATTTTTTTTGGATTTGGAATAGATTACATAGGAGTATGGAGTATGCTGTAAATAAAAATACAAGCTAGTGCTTTGTCTTAGTAGTTTTAAGAAATTAAAGCAAACAAATTTAAGTTTTCTTGTATTGAAAATAACCTATGATTGTATGTTTTGCATTCCTAGAAGTAGGTTAACTGTGTTTTTAAATTGTTATAACTTCACACCTTTTTGAAATCTGCCCTACAAAATTTGTTTGGCTTAAACGTCAAAGCCGTGACAATTTGTTCTTTGATGTGATTGTATTTCCAATTTCTTGTTCATGTAAGATTTCAATAAAACTAAAAAATCTATTCAAAACATTACCTATTTCAAATTCAATTGTGTCCTAAAACATTATTTTATTCGTAATCCTTGCGAGGAATATTGTTTTCAAATTATAACTGCCTATGTGAGTGATCAAATTCATGCAAAATTTCTTGTCTATTCCAATTGTATTGTGGCTATCAGACTGAGAATTAGTCTAAATTCTAGTATTTATTCCAAATAGCACTTTATTGATTGGTGTTCTCTCATAGTCTCTTCTAATTTTGAGATTTTTTCCTTTATTTTTATAAAACAGGTTCAAAGGCTTTTGAACATTCTTGCAGGCATTGGTTAATTTGCGTTAAATAAAATGGGGCTGGGGAAGCAGACTGCAATTTATTTTGACCCACACTCTTTCTATAAAGGATAATTTGTTGCCTGAAAACCATATTTGCTGGATAAGTGAATGTATAACAGGAAAAAATGTTAGTATTGTGGCGTCAATCGCACTGCGGACTAAACGTCAGTTTTAATGTATATGATTGTGACTATCACTTCAGTTACTGGTTTAGGAATATAATTTCCTATTGTAAATTTGCTTTGAAAAGCACTCATGCCTTATAAGAGAGGCTTAAAAATATCCGCTTCTGACTTTCTGTTAATACTTCTTACTTTCATTTGTTTTTTTTACTACCCTAGTGGCTAAAGTTTTTATTGGCCAAATTATAACACTTATTTCCCTGTTTGCTTTAGAAATTCTGAATTATTGCAATGACAGTTTTACTTGAGGATAAGAGGAACAAAGAATCCCAACTTTTGACAGTGCAGAAAATCAAATTGCCATAAAAATTTCCTTTCCGTTTTATTCTTAGGTGGGTCTAAAATGTTTTTAAAGTATAAAAATAAGCCATTAGAGAATAGCTAAAATGGACACACCTTTATTTTGTGTTTTGTTCCTGTTTGGTGTCTTTTATGATAGCAGTAGTCAGATATCAAAATCACAAGCCACTTAATATGAATGTGCTTAAGATCATATTTTGGGTTTCATGGCTTCTCTTTTGACTTCAAATAAGAAAATATTTACTGATGAAAGTCTGTATCTCATTTCTCTTTAAAAGCACACTATTATATATTTCAGTAAGTTAACAGACCTTATTAATACTCCTTTTGTTTTTGGAAACTCTTAAAGGAATTATGTAGTCTGTTGTATAGTATTTTCAAATTAACATGGGCATCTGTTTGGTAAAGCTTAGATCCATTTGTTTTTCTTATGCCCATGTATGCAAGTAAAGACACCAAACATACTTTAAATGCTGCTTTTAAACTTTGAAAATACAATCTGTAGTTATGACAATAAGCCTAAATTAGACTTCAATAAAATCCTGAATTTTCTTAGAAGAAAGCATCTACAAGTAAAACTTGAATTGTTTGTATTTTTAAAAAATTAGATGTTACCAGCTACAAAGTTGCTATGAAGAAAATTAAGAATGAGAAAAAGTGATTCTGAAACAGATTAATTTATTGTGCTTCCCCTACCCAATCTAAAATAGAAATCCTTGCAAAAACATAAGACTAAATAAATTTGGGTCCCATGTCAAAATCCTTTCCCTTAATTGCAAATAATTTTTTACTCTCATCTATTAAAATATGCCTGAATTGTCCCTCTAATATTGCTTTATAGGGTTTTTGCAGCTATTTTATTCAATAGAAAAGCACAACTTTTTGAGCATTAAATCTCATTTTAGAGCTTTTTCCCCTTGTTGATGTCTTGTAAACTATTGCTGTAGCAGCATTCAGGGAAAATAGATTCAGAGCTTAACTTTTCACAGAAATAAATCTATCTAATCTATAAACCTCAAATATGTCCATTGAGGAGGTCTTTATCTTAGATTTTCATTAGGTGTTTTATTTTAATGAAATTTTTTAATGAGTTCTGGGAAATTTCATTTCCTGCTCTTGTGATATCTTTTCTGTTCCCCAACTTAATTCATTTGCTTTTACTTATGAGCCTGCTACAGTAATGTGTGTTGGGAAATCTATTTACTTCATATTGAGGCCAACCTCTTCTTCATAGGTACCCTCCTCAGACTGACATAAATACACCCCTTCCCCATAATGGAATTCTAATTTTTATTTGATCACTCATTTATAGCAGTTGCTTAAATGTATGTATTTATATGATGGTGTTTTAATTTTTTTAAAAGCAAAAAAGTTCTAATAAGTTGCCAGATTTCTAATAAATTCAAGTTTATTTAATCAATTTATATGGAAACTGAGTTACTATGGTTCTGTAGTTAGTTTTTTAAGCGAAAGAATTCAGCGTAATTGTTTTTTAGTTTTCTTAGTTACTGGGGTTATTCTGCATAAGAAAGCCCAATGCTTTCTGCTAGTAGACAGTTTTCTCTCATTTGACTTTGAAATCTGACTTGGGAGGTGAACCCTCTTTTTAGAAAGAATAGCATGCATCAAAATAAATTCTATTTTAAATTCCAAGAGAAGAGACCTAAAATTCCATTCCTAGCATAAAGCCACATAATATTCTTGAAACTCATTACATCATTTGCCTCCTGCCCATTTGGATAATCATACCTACGTTTTATTAATTGTGTATTATTTGTAAAAGCCAAAACCCTTCCAGTAAATACTTGCTATAAGGCTATTTTTTGTCAATTATAAAGACTTCTACATATGCTAAAATTTTCAGTTTTGATTTTCCAAAGGATTTTGTTACATTGAGCTATCCAGTATTCTTAAAGAAAACCAACTGAAGTATGTGGAAGAAATGTTAATGTTAGTTTTGTCCCTTACCATGTGGCATTTCTTAAGTGAGCAGCTAATAAAAAGCCTTATAGAAAGAGTGCACTGGATTTATAAGTGTGTTTATGTTTCTCTAAGAATGGGAGCTTCTGTTAACTTAGTTCTGAGTAAGCGTGGGATTGGGTGACTGACTATAGAATTCAGAACTACAAATCCACTAACCAAGCATGTTTAGTTTTGCACTAGAAGTTTGTAATTAGTTCTGATTTTTGAAATGTAAACACCAAGCCTTAAAAATATTGCATATTTAATGTATTGGTCAGTAATTAATATTTATATTTAATTTGAAATAGTTACTGTTAATCTTTCTAGAATAGTTTTTTTTTCTTTGTAAATATATATTCATATGTATTTTTTATTTAGAGGTTACCAGAAGCTCTGGGTTTTTTTGTTTTGTTTTTGTTTTTTAACCATTTTCAGATGTTATCCAGAAATCTGCAAGTGTACTTTTCCTGTTTTAACTCCTTCCTTTTATCACCTGACTATCAGGGAAGCGAGGTTGAGGCTGCCCTGACCTGACATGTCATGATGTCGACTTGCTAGGTGGGGTTCGCTGGGGACGATAACCAGTGGAATTGTTGGTAAGAAATTTTTTTTTCCTATTTTTTTTTTATCAGTAGTGGGGCATTAAGTGTGGGAGAATGCCCATATTTTATAAATGGGCATTTATGTTGGCCTTGTAGACAAATGGGACATTAATATTAAATAATTTTGTTCTTAATAGGAACATATAATAATTATGTACTTCATACTTTGTATTCTCAAATTATAGTTCAGCAGGAAAGGCCTGCAAGTATGAAGTAATGAAATACTCAGGGTATATTTTAAGTGATCGAAATAGACAGTTTACAAGATAGACTCTAAAGTCTCTTAGATAGTAAATTTGCTTTTATTTTACTGTGATTTCAATCCCTCTCATATCTTTATTATGTTTGCATTTTTGTTGGGTAGCTTAACACATAATTCATCTTAAGGGATGTTTATTGCACGCTAATTTTAGTAAAACCAGGAAGGTGTTGATAGAATAGAGGATTTAATAAGGATTAGGAGAAATTATTTTTAAATCTTCCAAAAAATTTTAACATTATAAAATGAAACTTAAAAGTTCTAGCAGTTTATCATAAACAGCAGAGGGCTTGTTTTAAAGATACATTTGATATAATGACTTTGGGTCAAGAAGAAATGACATAGCTAAAATATTAGGATCTTGAACATAGCAAAACCACAGATCTATCAACAACTTGCGTTTCATCTGAAACCCAGAACAGCTGATGGGCTTAGTAGATACTGGTAGAATTTAGGAGTCAGTTTTTACATGATTACTAAAGATTCAAATCTCTCATAATGGAGGATTCCATGATAGTAAAGTACAAATTAAGGAAGTTACATTTAATAAATAACTAAGTATTTCCAACCATAAACTATTAAAAAATCATTGTAATGTGATATAGTCACTGATTAAAAGTAATTATTCATGCCTGAAAAACCTCCCTAGTATTCTTATGCCTTTGTCAGTTGAGTGTATCAGTCTAGGAAGAATCTCTTAGATGTATGTTAAACGTGCTAGTGTCCTGAAATCTTATCTGTAAGCTTGCTGTAGACTACCTGTAAATTGCTACAATGAAATTGTACTTTAAGAATTGCAGTGATTGCATCAATTTGTTGAGGTACTTGTTTCTCTTTTGACATCTCATATGCGTGTATCAGTGATAGAAAAGATAGATTTTGCACTAATAATGGTGCTCTTTGGAAAATTTGATATCCTAAGTAGTAGGAACACTCAGTAATTCTGAGGGTTTCATCTAAGTCAGGGGAAAAACAGTACAAACTCTAGTTAGTTAGCTCTTAATTACTAACAGTAAAATACATTTCATGGGATCAGAAAAGTAGACATTATGGGGGGAAACTTAAATTCCTCAAATATAAACAAGGGCTTTCATTTTATGTAGTAACTTTGTCAGGATCCTGTGAACACTGCTTTTCTTGATTTCTCATTTATGATTGTTGGACAAAAGGGACTTTTCTGGCTTGTTCAGTAACATAGGTAGAATTGTACTTGAATGAATCCATTTAAGCTGTTTAGTACTATGTTATAAGGCTATTTCTATAATTGAGCCGGAAACTCCTGCAAACATTGCATTGCTATATGCATACAATAATATGAGAATATTAAAATAGGAACATTTGGAAGACCACTTAATCAGTTTAATAAAAATCATGCTTTTGGTACAGTGTTTAGGTA